GGAAAGGTTATTTAAATTTATTCAATATCTTACTTCAGAGAATAATTATTTATGTTATATCACGTTATTATTTTACTTTTATTTCCATACGTTTTTTTTTTTTTTACTTAATATGTTAGTAAACCATAAGGCCAAATAAATAATTTATTGTATTTCATTTATTAAGTGGGGCAAAGCTAGAAAAAAAAAACTCGAGTTAAATTTTGTTTATTAACAAAAAAATATTGTTTATTATAGTTGATAAGCTGTAGAAGAAAATTACTAAATTAAAATCGAATTAATTATTATGGAGGAATAAATGTAAACAATATCTTATAGTTCTGAAAATAGCCATTTTCAGTTGTTTTTATTATTCCTTTATTTTAGGCACAAATTATCTACTTTTTTAGTTTGCTCAAATAAAATTTTATTTTCTTCACACGTTTTCTTGTTTTTTTTACTTATTTATTATTGAGCACTGAAGGAAAAGATATTCTTCAAAATGGAATAGCTCAATCCAATATCTAGACTAAAAATAATTTGAAAAATAATACACATGGTGTCCCAGTAAAGGGAATTATTTAAAGATGTGATCCCCAATAAAACTGGAGGGGAGGCGATAATATCGTTACGGTCCCCACTCTCCTCCTCCTCCGAAAATGTCGAAGAATAAAAATAAAGTAAAAACCAAAACAATGAGGTGCTACATGAATGAATAAAATATGTGAACTAAAATGAATTAAGAAAATAGGAAAAATCGTCTGTAAGTAAAGGGCCCAGAAGTATTTTACCACTTCCTGTGTCCCTAATATTGAAATTTTATATTTAAAGATGTTGCAACATATCCTAAGCCTTTATGATTTATTAACGTGCACCCTTCCATTTTTACATGAAGATTTTTTCACATTTTTCGCGAAAATTTGGAGTATCAGAGACTTGAAAGTTCATGGCACTGCTTCAAACCATTCAATAAAAATACAAATACGTAATATATTCAATTGCTTTATTAACATTAAAAATGAATGTTACGAAATCCTTTTGCCAATTATTAACCTTGTATTGAACTCTTATGTAACCATCAATGGGACTCATTGAAAATGAATGAACGAGTCACAACGCTGCTCTCGAATTTATGAATAGAAATCCCCAAATAACTGAATTTTCCATATTAATTTCCTATTGGCTCGTCGATCCTCTTATCTTTCCTTTATTACACGAGTAGTTCAGATTCTTTCTTATGGATTAGATACTTATTCTTTCATAGCCATTTTTAGATGTTACGATTTCGTAATCTCTCATTCAATGACGGCAACCCATAACGATTAATTTATTTACAACGGAAGATTACGCTGATACAGTTCACTATCCAATTCACTTAGTCAGCAGATGCACCTATTTCCCGAATGCACCTCCCCCTCCCCCTCCCACGAGTGAGTTTCTGTGAAACACAGTCAATCTAATTGTGGACCTGAAGTTAACCTTCGTTTAAGTCAATTATTATTCTGAATCCTTTGGTTTCAAAATAAATGATTCATAAACCTTTTGCTCAGCGAGAATTAATATATTTATATTTACTTTAATATATTTATATTTATCAGACAACTTTCACTTACCACTCAACTAAAAAAAAAAAAAAAATTAGATTTCTACTCAGATAGTGCTAGTTAATATAAAATTATTTAAATTGTTTTCAGAAAAAGTATTTTAAATACCTAATAGATACATGCTACATGAAATGGCAATTTGCAACTAATTCTGTAAAAAATTATATATGTATTAAGGCGATATCAGACATTATTTGCATTAGAAAAACGTGGATATAGTTTTAAAATAATTAATTGAGAATAAATTATTTTGTTAAATTTATATTATTTCTCCACAATTTATATTAAAAGTGACATTTAGCCAAAAAAAAAAAAAACATGTGAAATAATCTCTATGGTATTACATAAATTGAATTTTGGTTTGTTGAAAAATATTTTAAAATTTTATTAAAGGAAAAGAATTTTTTTCCAAATAAACATTTGTCAAAATATGCTTTTTGAACCTTTTTTTCCTGTGATAAGACTTTGCAGTCCTTAACATATTTTTTTAAAATGACTAATCAATTTTATCCCCATATATATAGGTATAAAAAATTTAACATAATCGAGCCTTCAAAAAAAAAAAAAAAAAAACCTAAGCACGATTTGCAAAGAGGAGAATTCTCTTGCAAAAGATCAGGCTTTCTATTATATTTTAAAGAAATCTATTCAATTCAGCAATTTACACAGGTATATTTAAAATTCAAAATAAAATATATGTTTTGTATTTTTAAAAATACAGTTCAAAACAATTAATTTTATGTTTTACTTATTTAAATTCAAAATAAAAAAAAATTTTTGTTTTGTATTTTAAAATATTTCATTTGATATACTGGTCAGGTCTAATTTAAATATATTAACTAAAGTTTTATATTTATTAAAATTAAAGTTTTTAAATTTTATAAACGTACCACTGTTTTCATTTTAGAGGCACAACAAAAAAAAATTTTTTTGTATGAACACAGGACTCTGATATCTCCAACCCCGCCTAGTTTTATATATTATATGGGTCATTTAAAAATTTCGGTCACATTTGGGAATCATTTAAAAAAAAAATAGAAATTTAGCTTGTTTCTCGACTCCTTAGCAGTCTTTATAGTTATTTGAGGAACTTACTTAGTTTAGCATACATAATCAACATAGCCATACATAAGTCATTTGGAAAAAAAATATAAAATATATAGTTTTTCTCTTAGTGTGTGGGTTCTATTAATGCCAGTTCATAATAATTTAATTTTATACATTGTATGTATAAAATTATATCATATCAAATTATATTTAACCATTTCTTATTACTACTAACCTCAAACAATGTTAAAGTTCATAAACTCATTAACAAATTTAAACCATCTCGAACTATATGATTATAAGACTTACCTTATACTTGATAAGTTAGTGTTCTCTGTGTTTTTATAAAACTGACTTTGGTACCCTCTCTCTATCTTTTTCCTCTCCAATATATTAACTTCTCTGAATTTTTTTTTTTTTTGCTACAGATGGTTATGATATTTTCAGCTTTAATATTTGAATTTATATTATTATTATTTTGAATTTATATTATATAAATATTATTTGAAAATAATAATATTAGTTTTGAAGAGAAGTTAGTTGGGGTGTTCGGTCAAAGAAAGGAAAAAGTCAAAATAAATAAATTATATTTATTTTTATATCCTTCGTGCTGACATTTTGGCCTGTTTCGAATTATATATCAAACCATTATTTTATATGTCGTTTTTCTTCTTCTCCTATCGTGTCACCCTGTTGTTTCCATCAGTGTAAAAGAGCGTTTAATCAGGATTGCCATTGTTTTCAGTTTTTTGCCAGGTTCCTGGCTTGACAGAGATCTTTTCCTCTCCTTTTGCACGAACGGTCGATATATTTCGACCATAGAACATCCTTGGTTGTCCTCGAGACCTTTATACCATCAGGGGCATAATCCATAGTTTTCAGTGGATCCCTATGTTCTTCCATCCCGATGACATGGCCTAAGCAATACAGCTGATGTGCCTCTAGGACCTCCCTCACCGAGACAACTCCCAGTTTCTTCCTGATCCTCTCATTGCAAATGCTGTCTCTTGTTTTCCCTGTGATTCTTCGGAAAACATTATCTGCAGCTGTCACTCTGCTTTCCTGTTCATCTGTAAGTATCTAGCTTTCAGCTCCATAGAGGAGTACAGGCAGGTACATTGACTTGAAGATGAGTAGTTTTACGTTTTTTCCACTATTAAAAATAAATAAATAATATTTATTTTTATATCCTTCTTGCCAATGTTTCGTTCTAAGTTTCATTTTATATATCAAACTGTTATTTTATATTTCATTTTTTATTGCTTTGTTAATTTCTTGTTATAAATTTGTAACAAAATAACTAAGAGACAGAACATAAATGTTTATAAAAGATTTGTTACCATTACTTTGTACTTTTTTATTAAACCTCATATAATTGTAATATTGTAAATATTTATCCACTCTTTTATTATTATTTTTTTTTCATTAATACAATGGCATGACAACAAAAGTTATTTGTCGCTCATTTATAATTCCATAGCTTATTGTTTATAGCAACTATTTTGCAGTATTAGGACCCTATTGCTCATATTATGTCTTTAATATATCTGTACAGTTATGTAAATACTTCTTTTATCCCTTATTTTTTAAGTGTTTTTTTTTTTTATTATAATATGCATTTTGGCCAGATGTAATGTTAATTTTATGTACAATATTGTTATTCTCAAGGGACTTTGTCCCAGAATAAAGTTGATTGTTATATTCTATTCTATATTTGTCAATTATTTTTGTTATCATAAAATATCCCTAAAATTTGAAGTGAACTCTTCTCTAAGGAAAGCCAAGTCAACACTGAATTATTTTATAATTATATTTGTTTTACATAGATATTTTATAATAACTAACAAATTTACTAGTCTTGTGATATATTATTAGATGATTCAAAGATGATAAATGGTCTGAAGATGAGATATTAAAGAGTATTCTCAAACATCATGAGCAAATTAATAAAAGAAATTTTCGGGAGAAAGACTGTTTTTAGATTTTCATATACCTATTATTTTTTATTTTTAGCTGTTCTTGTTGGGTGTTATTATCTAATAAAGCCCTATTGCCAGATATATATTAATAATTTTTAATTTATATTATATTAACACTATAAATATGTTTAAATTAACTTTTTGTAAAATTAGTATTCATAAATATGCAATGATCATGAAATATATTATGAATTTCCATTGTTAGTGGTAGAATCTTTATTATTTCTTAGGTTATTCAAATTGTCTACAATACAAAATATATTAAAATACATTGCTCTTTTATTTTGAAAGATTTTATATAATTTAAATATATATATATCATAAAATAAGTAATAATAATTCAATTTGATTTAAATTGTTTTAATTCAAAGCTAACTTCTGTCATTTCAAGGTGGAAAAATCGTTATTAATTTGATTTGTTCGCTTGATCAAGAAGATTTTAATTTGAATCTTGTTTCCAATAATAAAGAAGATTTGGTTTTTTCTATCAACACACCATTGGTTTGCGATTTTCATGTGATCAATTGTTTGGTATTATTATTTCTATATTAAAAGTTATTCTGTAGTAAATGTACTGCATTTAGTTGCTATATTTAGACTAAGTTGTATTTTGATTTTTTTTTTTAGTTACATGCTCCAGAGAAAAATATTGCTTATGATCTCTATCCATTGAATAAAATGATTGATAATTATGAATGGAAGTTAAGTAATGGAAAAAGACTACTTTTGAATGTTTGTGGACCTTTGAATTATATTCCACAGGTAGCTTGTGCAGGTAACAAAATACATTTGTAACAAAATTTTAACTTATATCAATAATCTAATTAGTTTAATTAAGGATGTAGTATCATAAGCCCCTCTTCCTTAAAATGTTTTTATCTCTTCCTTATCAATTCAACAGTGTTTGTAAAAATTTCATTGTGATAATTCAAATAGAATGGTTTTTGTAATCTGTTCTTATAGACCCTTCTTAGGATTATTGCAAACTCTTGTATCCTGGCTTTATTTTGTTGTGTATACTTCTCATCCTAAGCATTGTGTGTTTTTATTTTATGGCAATATTGTGATTGGTCGATCAGTGTTACAATCAATAAAATAAGCCAATGAAAAAATTGATTGCAAGGAGAATTGGAAACGAAACATACACAAAAGGACAAGAAATCCATTTAATAATTATTGTATTGTAAGAAATACAAAACATATTAAAATAATTAATTTTACCCTATCAATAAAGCAACTGTATCAGAGAAATTTTGAGTGAAATGAAATTCAAATATCACAGTATAAAACCGCTTAAAAAATGAATTTAATTTTTTTAGAGGTTGAAACGGCAGTGGCCTCAAGATATTTAGTAAAGACGTCACTTGAGTAATGGCAATGGCCAGCTTCTCATGAGTGTTTGTGGCTTTAGTGTGCTCTCTCTCAGTCTCCACCGGACTGGTAATGCCAGCGGCATGATTGAGAGAGAAGCATTAGGATCTCTTAGTATCTCGCTTTTACCTTCACACGTGGGGAAAAGGGCTGGACTCTGAGATCTCTTGATTGATTGTAAATATTGTAATTAAGTATGAATGTTTTTCTTGTTAATCTCTTCTTTTTTTTTTTATCTATTTATTTCTTTTGCTTCAAGCTATTAAAAAAAAAAAAAAATTAAGAATCAAAATTGTAGATAAGAATATTTAAAAAAATATATATATTTTGGCAAAGACTTTCTCAGTTAAAAATCTTTGAACAAATAATAAATATTTTATGCATCAGCTTATAGAACCAAAAAACCCTAGCAGCATTCTACTTGCTTCCACAGACAACTCTTTTTCAAAAAATTTGTAGTCATATTTCAGATTAGTTAGCACGTGGATGGAGTAAGGTGGTGATCGTGATCTGTTCTCAGTGGCTAGAAGGAGCCTAAACAAATATTATGTACGATTCTTGAGATTTATTTTCCATTTAAAGGTATCTCAAAAATACTGCGATTTCATTCTTAGTAAGGATGTAGTCCTGTGTTTGGGGTCTTGACTTAATATTCTGTCTGTTAGATACTTTTTTAAGCTCAAGATTGACAAGGAGGAATGCAGCTTTTTGCTGATTTCATTAACAGATCAAATTCAATTGTGCTTTTGCTTGCTGTAGGTTTTTTTCTCTGTAATTGTTTCAAATTTATATTAAACGGATGAGAGGAATCGTTCTGAAGCTTGTTGAAAGAGACACTAGCAGAGTTGAATAAATCACATTTCTTTTGAAAATATATGAGCTGTCTAATATTAAAACAAGATAACTCAATTTTAATTTTTTTTAATATTCAGTTTCAGTCGGATTTCATTTTAATATATCTATTTTTATTATCAATGTCATATGCTAATTATAAAAGATAAGAAAATGGAATAAATTTGTGTTGCTTATATTTTTTTCTTGAAAAAATTTCAATTGTTAATAATATATTATTAAGCTAAAACTGGAATTTATTTCTGTATAAATATCTACCTTATGCATGTCATTTTTAGATGGTCTAAGGAATTTTGGATGTATTATAGATGCAAATAATCAGACTGAAGCTACAGTAACATTTGCTAATGTTACTGTCATTGGACCAGGCCACATAGCTATGGTTTACAACAGTAAAAGTATTATTATTATTATTTTTTTTTTTTTATAGATCAAAATTATTTAGATATGAGTTTATAAATACATGGTTTATTTGCTACCAGGTATTATTTGTTAATCCCTTTTTATTTTCAGATCTTGGTAAAAGTGATATCTTTATTAATATCTCTTTCAAATGTTCAAAACATGTTAGTGTCACTCCAACTGTATCTAGAAATGATGTTAGTAGATTTAACATTGATTGGAATACATATGCTGCATGCCCATTAAAGGTATTGCTGTTATTTCTTTTAAACTTTTTTAAAAATAAGATTACTCTTATCCTTTCGTAAAGTTATTGGTAGTGGTCGAGGTATAGTTTACCATAGAATGAATTGTAGAAGTTGGTTGGGAAGTGCAGTGATAGATGAATTAACAAATAAATAAGTAATCTTACTGAGGACATGATTGCCGAGTACGTTGGGGTGAGGGTCCACAGAGAGTACCAGGTTCAGAATATTTTTGGTTTGTTTACCACCTTGGTCAGTTAATAGTTATTTCTCAGCAACATCAAGAAATGATTCTTGACACTAATACTCTGATTGGTACACAGCAGCAACCTATATGTAGCGATTAGAATTGGCAAAAAGGGTGACAAAGCCCACTTACTGTGACTAATCCCCTCACTAATACCATTACCTTTACCAATTAGTAATCTTATTTTATTGTGTAATATTGTTTAAGACAATTCATCAGAACCTATATAAAAATCAAGATAACAACCAGTAAGAAGTAATAACCGTATAACTAGAAAATAAGAACAAAAAATCTAAAAAGGGATTTGTAGTAATTAAGATGAGACTGATTCCTGCAGATTAAGTGGATTAACGGAATGATTGAATAGGCTGTTTGCTTAAAAAATGAACCATAACTACTTAATTGAATTTACTGTTTGATTAAATATAAATATATCAATTAAGTTAAAATATTATTAGATCCTAACCATGATTTTAAGATAGCAATTTACAAATTTTAAAGATATTAATTAAAATCCCAAGATTCAGATAAAATATTAAAGTAATAATAATCTAATTATGAACAATATTAAAATAAATATTTTAATCAAATTTAATTATTAATACCAATGATAAATATGTGGTTCTGTTGCGAAAATGAAATTTGTCACAGGAGATTTTATATCATTGGTTTTTTTTCACAGATTATTTTGATTTAGCAATAAAACCTATGATAAAGCATTTTATTTATTTTACTTTTTTTAGCTACCTATAAAAGTTATGAGAGATATCAATGTTGTTTAAACATTTTTGAAAGCTGTTTTTAAAATATTGATATTTATTAAATTTTGGCTTTTTATTATTATTTTTAAATCACATTCCAATGCCAAACGAAGAAGAAACAGAACTAACATTCTCGTTTATCATAATGAAAATTTCTTGAACCAGTTCGAGGAAACCATTCAACTCATAATGAATTGATTGACATAATGACATAATGAATCAGCCCGGAACAGTCTTTATCTTCTGAGTTACCTTGAATTCCACCCCTGGAACGGTTCCTACAGGAACGGTGATTCTCCTTCCGAGGGGCTTTTGAAATTTTGGTCCACTGGAATGTGAATGCTTTTATAAAATAGTTTTATTGCAGAATTATATTTAAATAAATGAAGATTAAAAAAAAAACGAATCTGTAATAGAATGAATTAAAAAACTAAAATGTTAAAATCTGTAATAAATAAATTCAAAAATTAGAATTTAAAAATAGCAATTTTTACTTCAATACCTGATAGTTGAGTCAGTCAGATGTTCCTCTGTAATCAATATGCTAGTTTTTGAAAAGATTCGTTGGCATAGAACTGAAGTGGCAACGATACTCAACATTTCTTTGGCAAAAAATTAGGGACCAAACCACCATTTAATAGATTCCTCATTATCGTATAGAATATCCTTATCTAAGTACTTTTTTTTGGGGAGGGGAGACCTTCCCTTCCTCGCCATTAGGCTATACGGGGTTTTCCCGGGTCAAGGAGTATGGGCGGGGATTTAAAAGACTCCCTCGGCACCGGGACGTGAACTCGTGACTATTTTTATATCATTTGATTGATTTATCAGGTTGCCGGGCAACGGCGGTGCTGTGCACACGCGTTAGCCCATTCGGCCACCCCTCCCACCATTTTATCTAAGTACCTGTTTAATTCAATCATTGCCTTTAATTCAGGTGTCCCTTGCAGACAATCTTGTTCTTGGGCTCTCATCAATGTTCCTAAAATCTCCAGTTCATTTGTTTTTTCTTAATTTTTCTGTACTTCTCTCTGTTAATCTTCATTTTCCTCTGCCTCAATGATTTTTCTGTTGTTTTAAATAGTTTTAGTATTACACATATTTGCTTCATTGCTCTCTATCTCGTTTCAGGTCTTATTTGGAACGAGAACTGGAACGAATTCCAGTGGTGGTATGTTCTGTTCCAACCTGCAGTCGGAATTGCCCAACTAGGGATGGGCAATAATACAATTTTTTTTGTTTATGCTTTTAAAATATTTCCATGCATTGTCCTATTATCCATTACAGTTTATCCCATATACTATCTTCTTTCGAATGTATTATCTTATCTTACTATCACATACTTCACAATTTTTTATTCATATCTAATTATTTCATTATTTTTTATGTTATTTATATATTACTGCTTGATTTATCATTAACATTTTATATGGTTGTTATATTATTTTTTGATTATGGACCCTGATGGAGACCCAATACTTAAGCCAAAATATCAGCACTCAATAAACCAAGATTTGTGTTATTTCATCTATAACCTAACCTTCCTAACCAACTTTTCCAAAAATAAAACTCCAAATTTTTTTTTACTATAACATTTGTTTCACATTATTGGATGTCTATTTTATTAACATTATATAAATTGGCAAAGTCAAAACAATTCAGTCCCTTTTTCTCCTCTGGTATTCAACCTATTTTCTTTTTTGTTTTGTAGTAATTGATGAGCTTTAGTGTTATCAATAAAAGAAATTGAAATTTGGAGACAATGTATATATATACAAATGTAAATGTTAGTTGATTCAAAGTCGCTAATCTCCAAAAGTTCTTTTCTGATTGCATTGAAATTTTGATACAATGTTGCAATAAAATTCAGGAGTTTATTTTTATAAATATTTCATTACTATCCGGCCATTCGTTTAGAAATGACAGTGAAAAATGTGAGTGCTGTAGATAATAGTACCAAAATGGCCGTAAAAATTTCAATAAGACTTGGTTAAGGTCTTCTCCTTGAAGCCCTTTTAATTTATGTGTACTTCCCTTAAAAAAGGCTGGAAAAAAAAGTATCGATGAATTTAAAATTTTATTCATGAATAACTCAAAAATATACATTTTTTTATATATATTAAGCCTATAAATATTTTAAAGCCTCCTAAATTCCCAAGTGAAAAAACAAAGTGAAAATTCCAATAAACAAAGTGAAAAAAATAGAGAAAAATCATCAAAAACGATAAGAATCAAGTCCAATAAGATAATTCATTGAATTTTGTTTTTCCCTCAGTTTATATTTTTTAGGAAAGCTCTATTGTGACTAATTTATGTTTGAAGTATAACTGTAATATAAGTACAAATTCGAAATTTGTACTAACTAAAGGAGCAAAGTGGTTTCAAGTATTTTTTTAAGGGAAAACAAAATTGAGATTGGTATTTCACATCTGGAAAAACTCTGAAATATGAATTATCATAGCAATTGAAAAATAAATGTTTGCCGAGTTAGCAAAGTAATAATTTGATGTTAATGGTTTCAGAATTTATTACAGCCAACTCTATTTTTATTTTTTAGTATTCTGCTGGAAAGAACTGTGAAGTTGAAAATTTATATAACCAGAGTAAAGTTAACCTTATGCCCCTTCATAAAAAGAAATTAGATTATTTTATTGTGAATGAAAAAGAATCATTTAGAATTAACGTTTGTGGTGGATTAACACAACGTTGCTCAAGGGTAATACTTAATTTTTTTTTTTATTTAACTTAATAATATTTCAGAATGATTAAGATCATTTCTTTAAACTGGTGCTTGTTTCAGAATCCTAATGCTGCAGTGTGTTTCAAAAATTCCAATGGAACAGAGTTAGCAATAGGTGATACTGGTGCTTTGGAACCAAATTTTATAGACGGTCAGTTTATATTTAATCTTGAAGGTGAACCTTGCCATGATAATGCTACCAAAAGTAGAATTAAAATAATAATGGCATGTGAATTCTCAAGTAATAATACATCAATTTATTCTCCTGAACTATTTCCTAATGCAAAGGTATTTATTAATTTAATTATATATATATATATATATATATATATATATATATATATTATATATATATATATATATATATATATATATATATATATAAATATATTATGATTATTTGAATTTGTGTTTGTAACAGTACAGTACAGAAACTTGTTTGGCTTGCTTTAATAAGCAGCTACTAATGTATCTTTCCACCAAATTAGTGAATTTATAGATAATTAAACAAAACCCATTTTTGTTTTTCATGTGTATGGATGAGATATATAGTCGGTTTATTGCAAAAAGTTACTAAGTGCATTTTTATACATAGGTTAACTTTCAAATATATTTTTATGAATTTCAACTTTATTTAACGCTAACTTAAAAACACTGTTGGTGCATGAAAATGACAAAAAAAACCTTTTGTATATCAAATATATTTACAACAAGCCCACAATTTTCTGATTTCCTATAGGGATAATTCTTAATTATTTAAGGTTACGAAATGTCACTTAATAACTTTTTGCAATTAACTGATAGTATATAATTTCTGTGTATGAAATAATAAAAAAAAAAAATATATATGTAGAAATAGAAATAGAAAAATCATCTTTATTCTGGGACTAGGTCCCTTTAGTATAACAGTATTGTTATATGTATATATATTTATTTATTAATTTATTTTTTTTATTTTTACAGAATATGTGAACTCACTTATAATATCTAATGATTTATATATATATATATATATATATATACATATACATATACATATAAATCATTAGATATTATAAGTGAGTTCACATATTCTGTAAAAATAAAAAAAATAAATTTGACAGTAAGAATTTTTACTTTTTTCTATTATTTGTGATTGAATAAATGATAAAATAAATTTCTTCTGAGAAGTCCTTTAAGAATAATAACAAATACTCATACAATATGCAGATTAATTCGGTAAGATTGTTTAAAAAATATTACTAAGCAGTTACCTGTTAGTAATAACTATTTGTACAGAAATAAATATTGCTAACATCGATGCAGTGGCTAGGTCATAAAGTTGATGAATGAATATGTGTTATTTAAAGGAACACAAGGTTGAGGTATAGAGACTGGTAAAGAATTAAAAAAAGGAAGTTACAGTTTTATAATAGGGGTATAATATGAATAGGTTGAGATATTGTGTTTAGAGATCAAATGGAAGAATATATAGAGTAAAGGAGTTCTAATATGAGGAGGTTTTCGGTTCTAAAGGTATTTACAAACCAGATTACAAAATGTTGGTTACTTATTGATGGATGTAGTTTCTGAGAAACAGATTCTTGATTATTTCATATATTTGGCATTTTAATTAGCTAAATTACAACCTAATCAACTAGATGAGGGAAATTATAGAATTTATACAAATAATAACATAACAACTAAATAATAATATTCAACCTGATGAAATTTCACCAGATTGCTCTCAATCACTCGTTGATGAGTTTGCTGTACACATTTACCAATATTTACGGTAAACTCATAGTTGCTTTTCATTTAAAATGGGAAACAAGGATACAAGCCGCGGCCAAAAAATGTCTTTGCCACTTGATGTTACCCTATGTCCTGTTTGTGAACAGGATACATCCCGACAACAATAACACTGATATCATTTCATATCCATGTTTATAAGTACCTTGAGGACTTGGAAAATAAAAACACCCAGAACATATTATTAACAGAAAATAGTATAAAGCCACTTCAACTGGTTATTCCAAAACTGATATTTTTTTCATCCTTTTTTTTTTTAAATAATTAATCTATTCCTGAAATTACACTAATTGTTTTGTATGACTTCTAGGAAAATGAATGCATGTATTATTTTTATTGGAAAACACCTCTGGTATGTGGATCATCCGTGTCTTCTAAATGTACCTATTCAAATGAAGTAGTTAAATATGATCTATCCTCTTTGATAAATTTAAGGGAAAATTACATTATAAATTACAATGATTCAGAAATTGAACTAAATATATGCCATTCACTGATACCTGGTCATAGAATGCATTGCCATGAATGGTCAGGAGCATGTCTTAAAAATCATTCAATTAAATCAATTCTGTCAGCTGCTTATGATAATCATGAAAAGTACGTTTTTCTCTTAATTCAATTTAATTATTTAAAACATGTACTCTATTTATATATTATATAATGTATAAATATTTTTTTTAGCAATGAAAATCTAGGAATGGTTAGTGAACAAGATGACTTTGATTTAATCGACAATAAGATCCGTTTGTACTACAAGAATGGTGGAGTTTGCAGATCAAGCGAAGTGGAAACTGTATATTCCACAACTATTGATTTCATCTGTGATAAAACTGCCTCTGTAAGTTCCATTCTTAATTTAATTAATTTACTAAACTTTATTTAACACCACAGATAAGAAGTTCAAAGATTTTAATTTCAAATGGTATTAAGAAATACAAATTCTACTTCTTTTTAATGAACTTTTTATCCAATGTACAATATTGCAAATGGCAATTACTTGACTAAAATATTTTTTTAGTTATTGCTTCCTATTCAACAGAAAATGTAAAAAAACTTTTTAAAAACAATACAAATTTCAAATGCCCAAATTAATTTTTCTGTTGCAATTGAGTTCTACTTTCACTTATTTAAGTGATAAGCAAAAAAATTTGTTTTACACTCTATATATCATCTTCAAGCTATAAAAAAAAAAAAAAAAAAATGAAATAACCATTGTACAATGGGCAAAAAAGTGTTCGTGCCACTTTCGCACGAAATTTAAATTTTAAATTCGCAGTGCCAAAATTTAAAATCTTATATAACTTTTATAAAATTAATATTTCAATAATTTGTACACAAAAAAAGTATTCGTTTACTAGAGAAAGTATTAATAATACAATAATTTCTGTTATCAAAAGAGCAGTGTTTTAACGTTCTATTAATAATCCTTTACTTCAGAGAACTAAACAATTAAACAATAAAACTGCACAAGAAATTGCTTGTTCAGTTCCTTACGAAGAAATATTTCTTTGCAATGGATCATTTGTTCAAAGAATTGAATTCTCATATGAAAGATGACATTGTAACACATTTTCAACTGGGTTTTGAATACGGAGTATTGGGAAATGTTCGGATTATCTCATACGATAGTGCATTACATTATAAAAAAAATTGAAAATGGATCAGTGGACAATAAACCCCATCCAGAGAGAAAACGCTTGTTGACAGTGTGAGAATCTTGTGAAATTGTACGTATAGTGGCAAAAAAATACCAAATTGAGTGCTCGAGAGGTTTTGGCTCACACCACCTCAGCTTATGAGAAATTTTTAACACCTCAAACCGTGAGAAATTGGCTACATGAAGCTCTATAGAGGTAGAGTGGTAAGAAACAATTTTTTATAAACGGAAAAAACAGAAAAAAAAAGACTGGAGTTTGCCCGAGAACATGTAAATAAACCCTACATGTTTTGGGAAAATATCTTGTTTTCATCTGAAAACATAATATATTTGGGTCTGATGGAATAAAATATGTTTGGAAAAAAAAAGGAAAGGCATTTGATCCCCAAAATCTGCAACCCTCAGTGAAGCACGAAGAGTGCAGTGTCGTAGTTTGGAGCTGCATGGGTGCCAAAGGAATTGATGACCAAGCCTTTTTTGTTGATGGAATTATAAATGCTAACAAATATGTGAATGTGTTGCGATGCAATTTAAATAAAATTATGCAAAAGTTAGGAATGGAGGACAAATACATGTTTCAGCAGGACAACAATCCCAATTACACGGCCAATAAAACCAAATAATTGCTGCTATATAATGTTTGCAAAACACCTCCACAATCACCGGATCTCAATCCAATTGAAAATTTATGGGCGCTGCTGGAATTGAAAATCCGAAAATATTTTTGTTCCTCTCAGAATGATTTAATAAACAGTCTTAAAAAGACTGGGAAGAAATTGGACCAGAGGAGACCAAGAGGCTCGTGGAATTGATGCCAAAAAGACTCATTGATGTGATAACTGCGAAAGGGTACCCTAAAAATACAAAATAAATTGAGACTGATTTATTATATTTTCTTTGGGTTAATCGAAGGTACGAATATTTTTTTTATGCTTCGTATTTGAATATTTTGATATTTTTCATACGATATGAGTTATAAAATTTTACTTTTTTGTACAATTAATGCAAAATGAAATTTCTAATTGTTATTTATAGTTGCTTCATGTTGAAAACGTAAATAATAACATTTTTTTCTAAGAAATATGGTGTACGAATACTTTTCTTGACCACTGTAAATTAAGACTTATCATAAAACACAATCTGCTAGCAGTACAACTGAAATCAGAACCCATTATAAAAAAATATATCTTTATTTTTGTGAAATAAGAATGTTTTTGAAGCTCAGTGGCTCTACTTTAAAAATATCCTGATGAATTATCTGGCATATAGAAGGAAATCAGAACAGTTATAGAAACAATATTGAAAATCAATCAGACCGACATCTGTGGCTGGAATAAACACTCATTGCTTGTTTCTTGATTCTTGTCTCATATGTTCTTAGTTTATGGTGTTGTTTGCGCACCAACTGTCTGATAGGTCTTATATGATCAAGTATTCATTCATTTATGGATGCAGTTGTTCCAGAAAGCCTATGTCAAACTATGGTACCTTCCTTGAGTAATAATGTTTTAATGAGCTGTTCATTTTTTTTATTCACTTTTCATGTTTATTTTTATCTTGCCAATTATTTTTGTTTTATATATTTATGTTACTAGCTAATATGATCAATTATTCTTTACCTTTGTTTTTAATGGTTAAATTTTTCCATAGGATTCTGAACCAATACTTACGAGCGTAAAAGATTGCCATTACAATGTTTCATGGACAACTTCTGCTGCCTGTCCAACTTACAAGAGCAAAGCCCCTTGTTCAATTAACATTTCTAATAAGACGTATGCGTGCTTCTTACTTTTAGTTTTTGATATATTTATATGCCTATTTTAAAACATAATTTATTTATTTTTATTCATTCTTTTAGGTTTGATCTTTCAAATTTTATGGATAAAACTTTTCCAGTTCAAATAGAAAACTCAAAAGAACCTCTCAGTTATGAAATAACTATTGGAATATGCAGACCTGTTGATACTATAGGATGTTCAGGAAATTCAGGTAGATTTTACATCTTACATTCAAATTTATATGATTAAGAAATAACTGTAAATTGATTGTATGTATATTTTTGTAAAATAATAATAATTTAGACATTTAATGCAAATTTAAAATGCTATAGATTTTAGATAGGTTAATATTGATATTATACAGCCGTAGAAGCTAATGGAAAGTTATCTATAACTCTATTCATACTCTAAATTTAACAAATTGTACTGAGAGAGAAGAATGTGTGGTAAATAGCTGTGTTGTTACAATGAACATGTGCAATTCATAATGTTTACTTTATTTTATGTAAGAAAAAGATTATTCATACATAAATACAATCAATGGTACAAGATTATCCATTTGTGGTAAGTAAAAGTTGTCTATAAACTAAAGGCACTAACTGTTTAAAAATGTTCCCGATACAATTCTCCTCAGAACAGGTGTCCAGAAAAAGCCTTGTCTGCCTTCTTAGATATTGAATAAATAGAATGGAAATAAGCTGTTTGGTAAAAATTTTGCTTAAAACAAAGGTGACACCTTTAAGAACATTTGATGTTCTTATGAAACACTTATGATGTTTAAGAACATTGACATAATCACAGAACAGATATGGTGTTAATCCTTATGATGTTCTTAAAACAGCTAAATTCAAATTTCTAATTCTTCAAGCACTTTTGAAGATACTCATTTGTCACTTGCTATCCGGCTACTTCATTGTACTATATCATATATAATCCTCAAAAACTTAGCCATTTGAAGGGAAGAACAAAATGTAAATCAATATTAAAACAAAATAAATACTTATAGATGAGAATAGTCCCCAAATACCTGAAATAATACCAACTTTTGTTTTGTTTTTTATTGGTTTCAGGTTCCTGCCTTTTTAAAGATGGAATTACTAAAAATCTTGGAAATTACAATTCAAAACTTCAGTATGTCAATGAATCTCTTAGGCTGGTCTATGAAGCTGACAATTGTAAATCTACTGTGATAGAGTTCAGTTGTGGACAATCTGAATCTTCTGGACCTTTATTGATAAAAAGAAATAATTGTACAACTAGTATCTCTTGGTCTACAAGATTGGCCTGCCCTGATGATGTTTGTACCATTCTGTATTTAATTTAAGTTTGAATTGTTTTGTAAATATTTAGTATATTTAGTGAAAACTTATTTCTATGTGCTTATCATTATCATACATCAATGCGAAGTTATAGTTAAAATGAATTTTCAGTAAAAAACTTAAATATTTAATTTAACATATATTATATTAAACTAGAAGTATTCTATATTCAATTTGGAAGGATAAAAAGTAAAAAACAAAGAATAACTTTGTTTCAGTTGTAAGAAGAAAAAAAAATGAAAGAAAAACAATTATATTTGAAAAAAAATAAGTGTTTAAGTATGCTATCGATTTGAAATACGTATACTGGTATATTATCAGTATTATAATGCAATGGTTCCCAAAAGGTGGTCTGTTACAACTCTGAGAGTGAACCATGGGAGAACCCCGTAGCGGTTAATAGTTGCCAAATAAATCAGGATTTCTAAGTCGATGTTCATTGAACTAGACAAGCTGAATATATCTAATGAATATCAGGAAGTGTTGAGTTAGGATTTCTTAAACATTTAAAATTGTAGCATGTTAAGATTATAATTTTTTTTTTAGATTGAATTTCTTGAAGTCAAATCTTTCATTGGTTAGAATAGTATAACATTAAAAAGATTAAAGGATTCAATTTTCAAATTGTTTTAATTGTATTTGGGCGTTTTTAACTTAAATTCTTAGTACACTATTTCTAACATATGTACCATAACTTGAGGCTACTTGGATTGACTGGAAAAATATTTTAAGTCTCACAGATTTTACTACACAGAAAACATGGAAATACAAAAATTAGGTCCTGATGTTTTATTACTTTTTTCGTTTGGGTCCAAGTAGTTCCAAATTACATGTTTAAATGTGGCAAATAAACTTTCATCAACAATAATCCAGGAAGATAAAGGACATTACTCGAGCTTATAATAATTTATAAACACTTTGTGATGTTGATGGTTATATGTGGACTACAGGGTTGCATGCCCAAGTTAGAGGTAGAATAGGAGGCTTCTACATATTGAGCATCACTGCTTTTGAATACCTTCTCCTATTGGTAGGAGATGACTGTGTGGTCAGGGTTCTCCTTGAAGGAATTCCCAGGAGACTGAGAGACAGACCAGACAGAGACAGATGATTAAATGAGAAAAAAGAAAATTTTATTGATGATGAAGTAATGGAAACACATACGAATGTTGTTCTGATGACTGTATCCTGGTAAACAGGATTGGACTTTCTGATTTTCATTCTGCACCTTAGCTGACAATAGGCTATAAACATTCCTTATTATAAAAAAAAAAAAAAAATCGTTTGTCTGATTGCTGATCAAATACTTTTAATTTACATCAATTGCTAAGTTGTTACAAGTCTTGGTGCATAAAATAAGTTTTAATTAAATTTCACCTTCTCCGTAACTTCTTATTATTAATAAAGATATTTAAATTATGTTATCAATAATATTTCAGTTTATATTTACCTTCAAATTGTTTTACTGTTTTAGTATGAATTAAGTGAAATGAAATGCTGTCAAGGCATTGAAGACATTTGTGAAAAGCTAAACCAAACATACATACTTGATATTAATGAAAAAGAAAAAGCATTTATAAACATATGTAAACCATTGTTGCCAAAATGGGGTATTATGTGTCCGTCTGGGTCAGTGTCTTGTTTGGCCAATAATGAATCATTAGATTCTTTTTCTTCAGAAAAGGTGAAATGTAACATTATTAATTTTATGAATTATTATTTATAGTTCATATTTTGTTTATCTAATGGAAGTTTATGTTTAGAGTCTAGGTTCTTTTATGTTACCTCCTGTATTATTAAATGACAAAACAGCAATAATAAAATACTTCGATGGTTCTGTTTGTCATAAAGATTCTGAAACAAGATATTCAACATCAATTACATTCCTCTGTGATGAGAATGCCCATATTGTAAGTTTATTTAATATTTATTAATTAATATTTTAAATTTTTATAGCCACTAACTCTTATTAATTTTATTTATTTAAAACCCTGCGCTACCCTGCTAGTCTAGTAGCTGCTCTGAATATGATTATTTGTATTAGTGGAGAGTGACTCATTGCTACAATTAAACCAGCAAGAATGATTAGAATTTGAATAGATATTACTTCCTTATCTGTTCCTTTTAACACTCACTCTAATACCTCTGAATGTTGATCTACCCTGAGAACTTTTGATACCTCTTTTCCTCTTGATCCACTATTTTGTTGATTCCTTTCTGCCTTGAATTACTTTTCAGCTTGATACTAATCAGAGTTTTGTCGATTTCACAATAGCTTTTTATATTTTTATATTTTTACTTCCACTTACCTCTATATGAAATATATAGTAAGGGAAAGTATTGTGATCGTGAAAATTTTCAAATCTCAATTCTCAACGGAAATACATGTTTTGAGGTCCCCTGAGTCGAATAACCAAGTCTAAGTATTTCTGGATCTGCCAATTTTATTATTAATATCATTTAAATATATTTTATAGAGAATGTTTTGTGTAAACATTTTTATGTAACCAAAAATTGTGTTTTTATTAAAACATGCAGTTTTTGGTTGCTATTATTTTCACTTACCTTTATATGAAATATGTAGGAAAGGAAAGTATTGCGATCGTGAAAATTTTTGAATCTCAGTTTTCAGTGGAAATATCTGTTTTGAGTTCCCCTGAGTCCAAATAACCAAGTCCGGTAAAATGATCTGAGTGTGTGTGTTCTAACAGTCCAGCTCAAAAACGAAAAGTCGTACGAAAGTGAAATTGCATATTTAAGGTTTTTATATGCTATGGATGTTACAGCAACTTTTTCGTCAAAATCAGCTAACCAGAAGTGGCACTTTATATAATGGACTAAACACATTTGTACATTTTTCTTAAAGACGGCTCTAATGATTTTGATTAAACTCAGTGTATCATTGTATAATTAAGTAATCTTTGCTATCATTTAGGTCTTTTCTCCATTGATATCATTTTACAGGGATTAAATGCCTAATATTCATGTACATCTTCCTCTAAAGTACCTTTAATATGGTTTATTTAAAAAAGTTAACTCTCTTTTATAAATAATATCTATAAAAAATGACTAAATATGAAGTTTGAAAGAATATGATAATTGGAAACTGGAGAAAAAAAGAAAAATGGTTATCCAGGTTGAAAATTAATCTCCAGAAATAATAGTCAGAAGGTATCTGTATAATATGTCGTTGGAAAGTGGAGAATTTAAAAAAAAATAATATCAAATAAATAACGTTGTAGAAGCTACCGTAGAGTGATGAAAAAAATATAAATAATAATTTCAGAAAATTAACATTATTTAATGAAAATCACATGTTTCCAAGGAAATTAAATGTAATTTTCTATCTAAATGTAAACATTAAAATTTGTTTCTAAGTTAAAAAAAAAAATTATTTAAAATCTACCGAATCAAGCCAATGTCAATGTTTATAAAAGAAGATGGAGTAATTACACTTTTATTGCCTGCCGTAGATATAATAAATAGACTTTTTGTAATTTTAATGGTCTTAATTTTTTTTTATCTATAAGCTTTAAGCTTTAGCTCTGTTTAAACTGCACTTCAAAAATTTTATAATTGCCTATCACAACCAGAAAATAATTTCTATTCAAAGCAGAGCTGTAAGTGGAAATTGTGTGTTGCACGCACCAGATTTTTGTTAATATAATGGTCTTAATAATTTTTTAGCTGTAAGCTTTAAGCTGTAGCTCCATTAAAAATTCACTTCAAATATTTTATAATAGCCCAACTTTGCCAGAAATTAATTTCTATTCAAAGTAGAGCAGTAAGTGAAAATTGTGTGTTGCGCGCACCAGATTTTTTAAAATTTAGTTAAGGTTTTACAGTCTGTAGAATCATAAATATTTTCAATTTTTATTATTATTAATTTTTAACTGAATATGTTTTGCAAATAGAAAGAAATGTACTTACCTATCTTACGGAAGGCTTATTTTTTCTAAAATAATTTAAATCGATTTTTTCCTAGGGTCGTCCAATGCTAATAAATATAAGTGATGATTGTCAATATGAATTCAAATGGGCTACTTCATTGATGTGCCATGAAAAGTGTTCATTACCTATTGGAAACAAGAACATCTATATTTTGGAGCAGTTCCAGAATTGGGATAAGAGAATAGTAAGTCTTTTATTTTAATTATTAATTTTAATTTATTAGTGGACTCTTACTCCAATTTTTGCATATGTTTGTAATAGTTCTCAATACATTAGGTATGGAACAACTTTAATTATATTCGTGAAGATGTAATGCATTTATTTAATAATCGAGTACTAGATAAATAAAATTGATGTGTTACCATGGAGCAAACAGTACTGGTTTTATTTTAATTTTAAATCAAATATTTATTTGTTTTTAAGAAATTTATAAAAGATTTTAAAAATTTCCTTCATATGTCAAGGCGTTGTAACTTTTCTTAACTACTCAGGAAAAAGTAGTTTTACTCATCAATAAAAATAATAAAATTTTAAGTAAATATTTAAAATGATAAACACTTTAATGCAGAGAGAGGAACCAGGAAGGCCTGGGCCATGAGGTTTTATTCTTTTAATTCCTAAATTTACTTTTAATTAAAATAAAGTATAGACAACATTATTATATTGCATACTATCTTATCATAATATGTTTGTTGTATACATTATAAAAGCAGAGGTTGGATTTTAGTGGTAAATTCAATATTTGAGGGGGGCACAGAAAAATTATTCTAGGGCACTTGATTTCTCTCTACAGTTCTGGTGGCAATACGGGAACAATAAGTTACTGACCATAGTCAAAATAGCATACTAGGTAGTTTATAAAAACAAAAAAAATATTTGGCCTGTAATATTACTCGTTTACGTCTTGTTAGCTTTAAAATGCTATTAATATAATCATCATAGAAATTCATTTTGATTATTAAGGAGGCATTGAGAATCCAATACTGTAACTTATAAATGGTCAAACATATGAATTTACTAGCTATAACAGAATTTGTCAGATTCAAAAGGAAATTAAATAGTGTAAATGATTAGTATTTTATTTTATTATTCTTAATTATAATAAAATATTTATAACAAACTGATGTGACAATTTTGATGTGACTCTTCTTATAGTCCGTGGTACAAACCCCTTTTTATCAAATTATTGACATCCGGCTAAAACTTTGTAAATATCTTCATTTCATCGTAACCTACAAATATTTTATTTACGAAAATTCTCAGAATTGGGCATTTTCAATCTGGAGGTCAGCAAACTTTCTGTATTTAATTAGTTACTAAAAACTTGTAAATACTCATTTGCTTTCCACTTGAATCGTAAGATAACTAGAGCACAAAGTCAAGAAAAAAGGTGGCCTTCAAAAATATTGAGCCATTTGGCGTGACCTACACCCCCAAAATGTCAAAATAACGAGGCTAAACAGCCCAATATTTTTGTAGGCCACCTTTTTTTATCGATTCTGTTATCAAATTATGTTATGATCCAAGTCAAAAGCAAATGGGTGTTTATGAGTTTTTAGTACCTGATTAAATAGAGAAAGTTTGCCGACTTCCAGATTAAAATCGCCCCAATCCAATCACGAGAATTTTCGTAAATATATTATTTGTAGGTTGCGATGAGATGAAGCTATTTATGAAGTTTCAGCCGGATGTTAATAATTTGATAAAAAGAGTTCTGTACCACGGACTATTAAATTAATAGAAAAAAAAATATGAGTAATACCTAGTTTAAATTTGTTTTTCAGTTTTTAAAAAATGGTTTAGTCAAAAGCCCATATATTTTGAATTTGTGCCAAGTATCGGCTAGGTGTGGAAGCCATATTTGTAAACTGGATCATACTTCAAAATGGCTGAGTTTTGCTGAATCTAATAGTTATCAAAGCCTTAAGGTTTCTGATTCTGAGACTAGAATTTTCTATAAATACCTAAGCAGTAATACATCAAAAGGTAATTTATTCATACTTAATATTTTATAATATACTCCCTCCTATTATAATAACTCTTTATTAGTAAAATGTTTTTTTCTCCTAATAATGGCATGCATACAACAGATGCATACAGTTGTCCTTAGCCAGCTCAACAAGCCTTTCTCTCTCCAGTTGAATCTGAGGTTTTGTTGAATATTCATGACACATGGCTTTTTACAAGGATGGGCTATCAACTCTACTTACCAACACTTCTGCTTTATTTAGGCTTGGGACCATCAATGTTGTCCAGCATGCCAACTCCACAGGTGCAGTTTGGTAAGGGGAGTGGGGTGGCCGAACGGGCTAACGTGTGCACATTGCCCGGCGGAGTTCAAATCCCGGTGCCCGGTGTGACTTAACTCGGCCTAACTTTCCAGCTCTTTCTTCCGGTCTCGAAAAAAAAACCTGTGTAGCCTAAAAGGCAAGGAAGTGAAGAACAAAAAAGAAAAAGGGGAAAAAAGGTGCAATTTGGCCAAAGTGAAATATTTAGGCATTTAAAAACTTATTATTATTTTAAATTAATGTCAAATGTATTTAAAAATTTGGTATAGTTTTTTACATTTATAATGTTGAAATTGAAATTTTTAAATTATAAAAAAAGGTTCAGATTCAATTTAAAATTTGAAATAATTGTGTGTCTCAGAGGTGTGGTGGGTGCTGGGAGTGTGACCTCAGTACACTAATGTGACTTATACAGCTGACAAACATAATGCTATGATGTTGAATGAAAGTCTCTCTCAGCTCAGCTTTATAAACATCCATTTATAAGAGCTAATCAAATATATTTTATACATAATAATTTTATCCAGAGATGACAAGGTGAGAGAGAAAACAGAAAAATATTTCTTGGATGGTAGTTTGAAAGCTAAAAACACTAGTGCAAGCTGCTAAGTATTAGAAAATCAATGGGTTTTTTCTTATGTCAGGAATACAGTGACCTATTGAGCCATTCATTCCCTCTCAGCCCAGCGTAATTTAGATGCTTGATGTCAACCAAAATAACTACTTTTTTTATAGTTTGTCATGACCAGTTTTTCAAGTGCCAGTCGGACTGCTGTGACTTCTCCATCAAAGTATGTTGCCAGGCTATCAGCTGGTTCTGCAAGCTGGAAATATTTATAGTATATAAATATACTACCGATCCTGCGTTTTTCTTTGTGTCTATGATGGATCCATTGATGTACACATGCATCCATTCTTGTTTGGGAAATCTCTCAGCAAGAATTTCCTATACATTAGATTTGAAGGGATGTTTCTTTCTTGGACACTGGATGAAGTAGTTCTAAAGATACTGATGCTAGACACATGGGTCCTGTATGTGAAAGGGAATGCCTGCCAATCCTTGGCTTTCATGTCATGTTGTCTTTAATGATGTTTTGTACTTGAAATGTGTAGTTTTCTTGCATTTTTAAGTTTTGTGTTGGGGGTTTGTAAGATCTCTAATAGTTTATCATTCATATTTATATCCCTGCAAGATTGAACAGGCGTTTGATCGAGTCTGGCATCCGGGATTGCTTTACAAACTCCGTGAATTCCTTCCCCCTACATATTTTCTTATCATCAGTTTCTATCTTACTGATAGACACTTCAAAGTAAATCACAATAATACCTATTCATTCCTCTTTTCTCAATCTGCCGGAGTTCCTCAAGGTAGTATCCTTGGTCCTATCCTTTACACAGTTTATACAGCTGATATCTCAACCCATCCTAACACTGTCATCACTACGTATGCTGATGACACATGTATCCTATCAGTTAATAATGATCCAACAATTGCTTCCCAAACTCTTCAATCACACATCACAAACCTTGAAGAATGGTGTCAAAACTGGAGGATTAAAATAAATTCCAATAAATCTCATCAAATCACCTTTACCCTTCGTCGTAAACCAATGACTTGCTGCCCTATAGTATCCTTTAATAACACCCCACTAATCCCTGTAGAACAAATCTGATACCTTGGACTCCAGCTGGACAAACGTCTCACTTGGAATCCTCATACAAGACTGAAACGACAAGAAACTGCTCGATGTTTCCGCTTACTCCAACACTTACTGGACAAACACTCTAAACTTCCCATTGATTACAAACAACTCATATTCATGACTATAATAAGACCTATTTGGACTTATGGAGTTGAGCTATGGGGCTCCACTAAACCATCAAATTCCTCTCTTATCCAATCTTTACAATCCAAAATCCTTCATAAAATCCTCAATGCTCCTTACTTTGTCACAAATAAAATAATCCATAAAGACCTCAATGTTCCATATGTTTCCGATTTGGCCGAATCCAGATACCTATCCTTCCATAATAAACTTCATAACCATCCCAACCCTCTTGTTTCTTACCTTGCTTCCTATTCAATTCCTGATAACCCTCTGAGGTGTCTGAAAAGAAGATGGCCACGTGATCTCCTAATATAGGCATATTATTAGAGTGCTACCAATGGGTAGTTTCTCAACATGTGTTTCATGTCATTATATCCATTAATGACGGAAGTAAATATCATATAAATAAATAAATATCCCTGCAAGCTTTGAGCACATGAATTCCTGTTTGCGATTCCAGAACAGCTATAGAAGTTGATTTGGCACCATCAGTTATTAGTCGTAGTACCTTGTTCTGAACCATATCCAGTAATCATGATGTTGAATAAAAGTCGACTGTCTGCAGAACCTTGTGGGAACCCTTGCGTTATTTGTCTATAAGTTGATGTTGAGTGCCTGTATCTCACTTTAATAAGCCTCTGGAACTCTGAAATGGTCTTGTAAAGATACTCTCTCTTTCTTTTCAAGAGGTTTGCATAGTTTTTGTCTCGATACCCTATTGAAAGCAGTTTTAAATTCTATGAATATTGTTATTGTGGTTCGCTTATACTGGAAATCATCCTTAATCTCCTGAGCCGTATAACTTTCCCAATGATGTTTTGAAGTTTCTTGAAATCTGCTTTGTTACTGGACATAAATTTATTTGTTTAAAGGAATCTTTGTTGCCTCTCAGCTATTATTATATTCATTCATAAACTTTTGAAAACATACTTGTGAGTGAAATTTTCTGGAGAATTAACATGCTTACTCTTCTTTGGTATAAGGATGACTTCAGCCACCCCACCTAAGTATAATTGATCCACACCAAGTTAAAAACTTAAGTACTGTATTCTTTTTCGCTGGTACAAAATAAATTAGAAATTCAGATAAGATTTTGTCCGGTCTGGCACTTGCCTATCTTTTTGTGAACCAATGCATATTCCAATTACTCTGGCTGAAATTCACCCCAGAAGAGATTGTGGTCTTCTCCTTCACAGGATTATGGGTAAACTATCAAGGGTTTCCTGTTTTCTTTTTATGGTTTAAAATTACTATTTTTTTTTTTTTTAAATTCTTACCTAAGGGGTAAGCTATCTCTATTTCATTATAGAGGAATTTATTTCTCTTCTTAAATGAAATATTTTTCTCCACATTTTGATTGTTTATTCTTAAGATGAATTTGCAGGTACAAACTGCATATTTACAAAGGTCGAGCTCACTTAAGAACCTTGTTATAGAGATACGTTTATCCGTAATGATTTCCCTCTGGAACAATGCAAATTTTTCTTTAACAGTTATTCTTGCTAAATCCTATTCATCTTTGAGTCTTTGGGGCAGGGATGGACATATTTATATTCAAAAATATAAATATATTTATATTCATAAAAAGAAATATGAATACAGATGATACGTATTCACAGCTGTAAATATAAATATGACCGTATTCACGTTTATTAAAATGAATAGGCTTAATTTTACAGAAGTGAATATAAATATTTTCATACAACCTTATGAATGAATACACTTATTTATGAAATAAATATTAATTTTCAGTCACGTCTAATCTTCATTCTCCTAGGATGTATAGTTTGGTATTTTCCAAAATATACATGCATATATAAAAGTGTTTTTTTTAATTATATCAATCTCTTCAGAAATGTTGGAATAATGTTAATAAGTTGGTGTGTGCTCCTCCCTTCCCCCAATAAAAATTCAGAGAGGGTGGGAATATCGTTTCACCCACCTCTTCACAATATTTTGATGAACACAAATTAAATCAAAATTAATTAATCTACACTAAGGAATAAATTATGTAAACTAAAGTAAATTAATATAATTGGAAAATTCGACTAAATGGCTAAGCTAAGGCCTAGAAATATATAGTAAGTATTTTGCCTCACCCTATGTTAAATTTTAGTTAATATTCAAAGATAGAATATAGCAACATATCCTAGGATTTTATGATTAATTCATGAACACTTCCAATTTTACATGAAAATTTTATTATTTTTCCCGGCAAAAAATATAAAGTGATGAGTTCATCTCATTGGCTCAAACCTTTAAATGCAAATAAACCTGTGTAACATACTCAGTTGGTTGGTTAACATATTTTCAAATACAACCATACACATAAAAACTAAATTTGGTGTACACAGCACACAACTTTCACTTACCGCTCTACTTTGAATATAAATTATTTTGTGTCGATGTTGGGCTATTATATAATTTTTGAAGTTTATTTTTAACGGAGGTACAGCTTAAAGCTTACAATAACAAAAACCCTATTAGTTATATCAACGGTAGGCAATAAAAACCTCATTACTCCATCTATTTTATAAACTACACAACACCAGTCTCCAAGCTATACACACACATACACACACACACACACACATGACATTATATGCCTAGAGAGATTTGAAAATATATCTGTATATTCAACCTATAAATGAATTGACTGTAGGACTGTTATACTGTACGACTTATTTAACTGTTATTTACCATTATAAGGTTTACTAAAATGAAATTACGAGATTTTCATTGTCTGCCATAGATAGGTCAAAAGTTATCACACTAATTTAAAGTGGATAATGTTGGGATATCATAAAGGGAAAACTCATAAAATTATTCACTAATATAGTATTTAAATAAATACAGTCGCATTCACTTTTACAATCATGAATACGGCTATATTTATATTTACAGCTGTGAATACGTATCATCTGCATTCATATTTCTTTTTATGTACATAAATATATTCATATTTATATTCATATGTGCTATAAATATAAATGGTATTCGTATTTACATTTTTGAATATAAATATACCCATCTCTGCTTTGGAGCTTTTTTGAACAAAAGGGACTGTATTATCTTTACCCACCATTTTTCTTTAACACTTTCTTCTTCTTCCAAGGTCTTTCCACATATGCATTAGGAAATTTTGTTACTGTTTTTGGTTTTATTCTTTGTAATCTGATCTTCATTGACGAATAAAAATTGAAAATTCATGCAATTACTCAATTCCAAATGAATGAAAAACTAACTGAAGTCTGGCTACTTTCGGAAATTCATTATAAGTTTAGTTTCAGTACTGGTGGTGTTTTATCAAATAATAGTCTTGTAGAAGTTAGATTATTATGTTATTATGATAATTACTATATATTATTATATAGATTAATAATAGTCTGCACTTAACAATGTAATGTTTATTCAGTTCATGGCTTTTGTTTCTACGATAGTACTCACTTGTTAATGGACTTTCATACCTGGCACCCTGATGGCCTAAAATTTAGATTAAGATACTAAAAAATAAGTTTACTTATTTTTTTTCCCCCGTTTCTGACAGCTTAGTCCAAAATAATATTTCATTTTTTGGGATCATTAACACTTAAATGGTCCCTCACACAAGATGTGTTTGATGCTACGCTGAGAGTTATTGATAAATTTTGTTTAAATTAATTCTTCAAAAATATTACTGACCGCTGGCAACATTTGATTACGTAGACGTGCATCACCATGACTACCTGTCATGAAACATCATATTTTTAGATGAGGCTAATCTGTGAAAAAGAGATTGTCATAACTAGAGACTGGATTTCCATGTTATTGCACATTTTATTCGTTTGGGTGTAAAAACCCCGGATCCAAATATCCATCCGTTTCAGAATTTGTGGAATAACATATTTAAATTTTATTTTGCACGATTTTGATTTTTGTTGCATTAAATTGCACATTTTGTGCTAAATTAAATGATTTATAAATAAAAATATAAATGTATGTGTAAATACTTACTTTTTTATTGTACTATCTTGTCCATATTTAATTTATGATTTAGAAAGAAAAATCTGAAGAAGGTAAATGATTCTGTGACTTATAAAGATTCGAATATAAAGTTAGACAAAGACGAAATAAACACTAGTGCAGACAGACTATATGTGGAATAGAATTTGCCAGAGGTAATTCAATAATAAAACTGCTTTCCATGGTTCGACTTGAATTCTCACTTTACCTTTAAGTTCTTCAGTATTCCTTCCGGATTCGAAGTGAATCGTAGACTATCATGAACTGACAAATTTTCATCAAATATTACCTCAGCTAGAATCTCTAAATTTGTCACTTAATAAACCAAATGGAATTATCTTTAAAAAATCAATACTGAAGTAGGAAAAATTACATCTCAAAAAATTTACTTTTTAATAGAAAAAAATATAGGCTACACTCATAAAAAAAAATATAACGACTGCATTAATTTTTTTTTGTGACTCGATATTTTAATTCAGAAGCTCAACATAAGATTTGATAGTATTTCGATCCGTTAATATTATAAATTAAACAAAATAGATGATTTGTGCACGTTTTTAGGTCTAAATTAGACAATATGTTGGGTTTTTACTGAACGATTTTGCACATTTTGAGTTTTTTGCTGCACGAAGATCTTGTCTCTAGTCATAACATTCTATTTTCTGTTGAGAAATAAACTTTTCTGATGATGAGTCATTATCACCTACTGAGAACATTTGAGAAACTGAAAAATATTGTATTTTGACAGGCCTTGTTAAAGTAATGAATACATCAACAGACTCGGACAGTTTGAGATTTTTCATTTAATTTTAAAACAGTTTTCCCAATTATAAAGTACTCGTTTAGCAGATTTGAAGTATCACTTCTTAAACAACGATATGATAAGGGGATACAGGTAATGTCATTAAACCATTTGTTTTACTTTTCCAGATTCATGTGGGGCTCAAGTAGACTTAATATGTGATAACTATGATAGAGGTCCTGGAAGGCCGTATTTAGAAGAGGTTAGTAGCAAATAAATAATACCTTTTTATTATGTTCTAAAAGTAAATTTATTAAAACACATCGAATACTACACATTCAAACTACGCATATTTTTTGAAAACAATTCATGGCACATAAAAACATTTAAAAAAGAAAATAAAAAAGAAAACTAATATTTGAGCTTATTTATTATTTACAAACACTCTAAAAACTATAATCAGTCTTGTCCATTGGTACACAATACCTATATGTAGTCTTTCAAACATTATTTTTGGAATTAGTTAAGATTCATATCACAGTAACTGACATTCATGAGTATCATTTGTAAAATTTGTACAATAGGTTTATTTTAATGGACTAAACCGTTGTAAAATTCATTTACATCTTACCACAAAAATTATATACACCTATTATTACATTTTAAATACATTGTCTTTAGCTTCACAAGAACAACATTGAAACAAGCTTCTGAGCCTCATGAATTAAATTTTAAATAACTTCTCATGTCCTTTATTTACACACAAATAAAAATAATAAAAATGTCCTCGAGGGCACCTGCATGCTTAGCAAAGCTCTTTGCCTGTTGCATGTTTTGGAGAAATATTCTTACAAAACGTTTCATTTTGTGAATTTGTCCATTTTATTTATAAAGTATATTATCCATTTAAACTGGCTTTGAATTTGATAATGTCTTAAGTGGGTCTATGAAAAGTGCATCAGCCGGTGGTGTTGTTACCGATGGAGGTGTGGAATTTGGGTCTGTTCCATTCATAAGTTTTTCACCGGTATTTCTTCTAATAGTTTGCCGTGAAATTAGAGGTATTCCTTTGGATAGTTCTGGTGGGTGCGGTAAAGCATAACGAAGTTTCTCCCAGAACCATGGATCACCCCATTTAACATATGTATTCATCGAGAGGTAAGCCTTTAGCTCTGGGTCAAGATTGTCCGTGGCTCCGATATCACCGTAGAGTATGATGATGACCCTTGCTCTTCCTTCACTGAGTGCTTGAGAATGTGCTGCTCTAAATTCCATTCTTCCCCACACACTTTCTAAAAAGTTTGGAGAAAGTACGACTATAGTCCTACGGGATTCTTCGACAGATCTAGCAATTTGATTTGGTATAAATTCACCCACAAGCCAGTCTCTATAATGAAGGCAAAGTTTAAATTTTGTTGGACCATTTTCGAGACCTGGTACCAAATCTTCTACTACAAATTTTTCATCTTGATGGGAGTAGCTGACAAAGGCATCGTATAGCTTGTCCTTATCTAGTTCCTCTTCTGTTACAAACCACAGACAGAGTTTATTTGCATAGAGCCAGACTTTAATCTCCCTTTGGTAACGATAATAAATGGCTATAGAACCTCCAATCAATAAACAAAGAAATGCCAATGTGATGCTTAGTGATACAATAGCTGCTGTCATCGTTGGACACAGTTCATTTGCAGTCAGCTCACTGAAGGGAATGCCATTAGAGCATGTAAGATTTTTTAGATTTGGTATCTGCAAAGATAAAAAAGAAAAATTGTTAAGCCTTATAGATTATTAATGGTGTTACATCATTTCATAATAGATTTTCAAGTATAAACTAATTAACTAGCTATATATAGAACTTTCTACTAAAAACATTGAATTTTGGTTCAAAAGTATTATTTATTTAATTTTATTTCTATGTTCTGAATGAAAATTCATATTTAAAAAGAAAAAATCAGCCTACTTGTTTTTAGTATAACAAGGATGAAACAATTTAATGTTCCTTATTTATATCAAATATTTTTCAATAAATTTTCACAATCAATATATTGAATTTTGATGATATTTCCTTAAAAATATGTTTATTCAGGTTTTATAATTATTGTTTTTAATTAGTTAAAACTTTATACTCTACCTTTTTATAGTTTGCTTGAATAAAGTTGAGAAAAACTTTTGTCTGGCAATCACAAATCCATGGATTATTCTGCAACGATATTTTTTCGATATGTTTTGATTTTTCCAAAATATTCAAAGAAGCCTCGTCAATTCGTGTTAAATTATTGTTGTCTAATTCAATAATCTGGAAAGAAAAAAACAATAGTTTTTAGAAGTAATAATTTTCATCAAGATGAGTAATAAGCAAACATGGTATATCTTTAGTGATTCAAATTTATTTGTATTTATTTATAATTACCTGGAGCTTATCGCTGAAACTCGTCAAATTTATGTTTGTCAGATTGTTATAGGAGAGATAGATCTTAGTAGCATTGGAGTAACCATTGCCCAGCTTGTTGGGTAGGAATGTTATTTTATTTCCTCTTAGATCTAGTTCTGTATGATTGACGTTCATCCATTCTTCTAGTAGGATTGGCGTTGGAAGCGATGGTGGTATATTAGTCAAGCCTCTGTATGAGCAGTTGACAAGAATGGCTGCATTACTTGGCCAGTATTGACATGAACAATTCTTCGGACAATCATTCTTTTTAAGTAGTATTTCTGTTGGGCATGAGAGTTGACGAGGGTCTAGATCCATGACTAGAGTTTCCTTCAATTCCTCAGGACTATTACATCTAAGATTACTGCCATCAATGTCCACCAACAGGTTTACTTCAGGCTCAACTTGGCCTCTGAAATACTTCACCAAGTGATATGCATTGCAATCACATACGATTGGGTTTCCTGTTAAAATAACTTTTATGCTGTTATTAATAGGAATTGGACTCGTTGAGTTGATATATTTAAATTTGGCCAGTGCTTCCGCATCTTTCATATATACTGTATGAATCATGTTACTGCTTAAATCTAACTTTAGTTTGGCTGATGTGAACTGTAAATCGGCGATCTAAAATTAAAATGTCATGGTATTAGTGATAGACAAATATAAATATAACTATTTAATTCTTTAAAATATTACTAACTACTTTTTTCTTATATTTTCTTTATTCCAATTTTTTATTAGAATGGATTAATGTTATTTTGTCCTTGTTATATAATAAAAAATTTACGTATTAACAACCTACTTTTTTATTTTTCTATTAATATGGTAAACATGATTTAGTTATTATTTCATAAAACTAAAGTTAATTAATTTTAATTTAAACAGTTGTTTCTAATTTTGTTTATCTTTCATGTAAATTAACAATTGGAATGTTTTAAATAAGTTACATTTGGTGGAAAAGAGGGGGAATAACCTTGTACTCTAACCTTGTATTATTTTTATGTCATGTTACTATCTGTATTATCAATTCAAATTTCTAACTGGTTCATGTTAAAATTTTTAAATTTTAAAAAATTACTTTTTATTTCCAAATCATGATTAATTAGGAATATGTTTATAAGAATGTACTATAGATTATTTGATTACTGCAAATTCAACATTATACTTACAGTTAGATTTGTGAAGTCATTGTAACTTAAGTCAAGATGTTGAAGATTCACCATAGAAACCCGCCAATCAGAGTAGATAGTTGACAATTCATTGTAAGAAAGGTCAACAACCTCGAGTTTCACGCATGTTTGGAAAATAGAATTGCTTCCAAGCTCTTCATCAGCAAATTCTCTATGAAGAACAGATAATTTGTTATAAGACAAATTTATAGTTTTTAAACCCTGTAGTACTGCAAAAGCTTCTGGATGTATAAATTTAATTTCATTATCTGCAAGTTTTAGTTCTTCGAGCACATAGAGTGAAGAAAATAAGCCTCTGAAAAAAAAAAGAAATAATGTTTTTAATTTGTTTCTATTAAAAATTAATATATATATACACATATGCCTTTGATACTTACTGAGATATATTAGTGAGCTTGTTGTGAGACATGTCCAGTTTCTTCAGCTTGTGCTGTGAAGATAGTAGAGATTCAGGCAGATAATTCAGTCTGTTGTTTGACAAGTCGATCATGGTAACACTCTTGATATCTTTAAAGATCTTGTCTGGAAGTTGTGTGAGAAGATTTTTCTTAAGTGTGATATTGTCCAGAGAAATGCATCCCCAGAGAAGGTCTTCAGGAAGAGAGCTCAGGTTGCTATCCTTCAGGTTCAGTTCTTTCAGTTTGGTCAGATTAGCTAGAAATCCTGATGGAAGAGTTTTTAAGGTTCTTCTGTTGTTATGAATTTGTATTTGCTCCAGGTTTGGAGTGTTCCGGAAAAGACTTTGTGGCAATGTTTGAAAATTATTTGCATATAAATTAACTTTTTGCAACTTAATTAAATCTGCAAAAATATCTGGCGGAAGGGTTGTCAAACCATTAGAATTTAGATCTAGACTTTCTAAGTTGGGTACATCAGAAAATACAGACCTGCTTAAATTTTGTAACTTGTTTCCCCAAAGGTTTAGTAACCTTAGTTTCGTCAAATTCCTGAATATACCAGGCTCTAGATAATTCATATTATTGCTACCAAGTTCTAGAACTTCAAGTTTGGGGACATATCTAAAGATGCCCTTTGGCAACTGGACATTATTATTTTTAAGGTCAAGCCATTTTAAGTTTTCTACATCCTTAAAAAGATCTTCTGGTAACTTTGTGAGAGCATTGGAATGAAGATTAAGTCGATCCAAGTCATGGAGTCCCTCTAAATGTCTGCTTGTCAAGGTATCACTCAAATTACTATGCGATTGGATCTGAAGGATCTTGGTGGAATTAATACCTACGGTCGCCATGAGCTCCTTAAACGAGATGCCAGGTAGAGGGCAGAGCTTGATGATAAAGTGGTTTACAGGCCCTATTTTGAGACCGCTCACAAGTCTCAGATCTTCCCATTCTTTCATGTCCATGCATTGGAGTTCCATGTACTGATTTGGAAGGAAGTTAGCTATTAATGTAGGCTGATTTGAAGTTTTCGGGCATAATAGTTCGAAATCGCCCTTCATACCTCTTGAACAGGCGCAATCTGCTGGAGTCCCTGGGCATTGGAACTCGGTTAATACTTCTTGGCTTTGAAACCATAACACTCCGACTAGCAGTGTCGCCAACATCCTAAAAAAATAGAGAAAGTATTAATTTTATTATTTTATGTATTTACTAATAATTTTTTTATTACTGATTTTTTTATAATACTTTATTCTGTGACAAGTCCCTTTAGAATAATATACAGAGATAGAAATGTGGGCTTTGAAGCCTCAAAGAATAACCACAAAAAAAAAAAAAAAAAAATAGATATTGTAGATAAAAGAAAGTCTAAGTTACTTCTAACTTTAATGAATTTAAAAAAAATGAAATAAAAATATTTTAAACGGACTAAAAATTTATTTACATAGTTGCATCATCTATTTACAATTTTATGGGAACTGAAGGGATAAGAGGTGATTGAACAGCCTGAATTTAAAGGCAAGGAGGGTATTGAATGGACATCTGTAGGAAGGGAGAAGGGATGAGGATTAGTCGAAAGCATTGGTTTGGTGGGCCCTTGTATACAAATCTAGACTGGAAATGGATTTTGCGGGAGTTGGCAGAAGATTTGAATTGAAGGAGCTTGGAAATGTGTGAAAGACGGTGGGACTGAATGACTTGGAAGAGGACGTTTCAATTGTCTTGTCTTAATCGAACAGAAATCATTTTGTTCCTCCCTACCATAGGTAGTAAAGCGTCATATTCATTGAGGAAGTAATAATAGATTTGTCTCCAGAAATTTATTATTTCTATACTCAGTCGTATTATACGTTTTAGAGATCATGAAACAAACTTGTATCGTTGTCCATGAGATACTTTAATAAAATTTTCAGCTATTATGCTGGTTGTTATCTAGATGGTTCCATATCAATTCTATCAAATCCCATTCTCTGCTTATACTTATGACGAGTTAACGTATTTCTTAAAAACAGCTAGCCAAATTTGTCATTTATTTAGAGGATAGTTTGTGATCAGTGTAAAAATCAAGCAGTATTAATTTTGTGGAATTACATCTCCTACTTTCGCTTACGCTTGTAGGCTCATGACGTGCTTAATTATTTTCCTTGATATGACTATTTCAAAAGCGACTTGCGAAGCGCGAGATTTGTTCGAAAATATGTTAAAATATTTTAAATGGTTTAATATCTATGTCATTGTTGTTTTGACAAGAGATTTGGTGAAGTGTTTTAGAGGCTTATTTTTGCATTTTTGAACGTGTAACAAATGTAACACATTTCTGATCGTATAACTGGATAGATAGATCGTTGTTCTATCTTATTCCTTTTCTGCTTGTATTTTATTACGCTGCATTTTCCCCTACAAAAGATTTATATTATTCCTCGATGGATTTAATAGAATACTAGTTTAGTCTAGGTAGATAAGTTTTATAACGAACTTGCATTTAGTGAGTGTACATAATTGCCTTTACCTAATTAATTTTTCCCTAAATACAACCCTAACTTTGTTAGTTGGAAGTGGTTGGTTGGTTGCTAAGTTGTCGGATCGAGGAAGTAGTGGTTCTTCGATCCCGGATCCTGGAGAAAGTACTCCAAGAACGTAGATAGAAAAAATGGGTAATAGTTATGTAACGGAGGCGTCATAAAAATCAAGCTTTATACAGTTTGAACAAGATTAAAAGCCGGTATGGGATTAGTATAATAAAACTCAGTTAACATTACTGAACTAGTATTCACAAGTATGAGTAAATACATAACATAATAATTAGTAATGTTTTCAAGTTTTCGTATATTTTCGTTTTGCCGAAGGATGAGAAGAGAGAATCATAAAACATACTTATCAATCAATACAATTATTATTTGCTAAGATCGAGTTATTTTCTGTCAAATTCTCACTATTTTCTGTAGTATTAACAGTTTTGTAAACTGCATTCTCTCCGGGAATTTATGTTCATTCAGAACCGAACGAATTATTTTTTTATCCATAGTGATCGCTTAAAGTTTTAATGGGATGGTTTTTAATTTTCAGCAACGATAGTTGAGTAAGAGAAAAAATAACCTGCGTTAAAATTTAAGGTTTTACGTCTCGAAATAGAATCACAAAGAAAGAGAAGAAAAAACAGCATATAATTCTTTATCAAATGAAAAAAATAATACTAGTGGGCTTTTGAGTTTGAAGAGCTTTATTACACTTTAAACCCAATACCGTAAATTTTAATTTACCAGTTTCAAATTCAAGGGAAAATTGCTTAAATCTCTCTCCAAATATCCAAATATTAATGTAAATCAAATAAGTTTTTGCGTGATGCGGAACTGTGCTAATCGATATCAAAAAATACGTTTACTAAAATCTATCTCCGAATACCTCAATACAACTATATATTGGTGAAAACAGTATGAAATTCTCTATCAAATGAAAAAAATAATATTTGTGGGGTTTTGAATTTGAAGTTATTACAAATTAAACCTAATACATTAAAATTTAATCCATCAGTTATATAGTTGTATTCGAAGAGAAATTATAGCAATTTTTACTTAAATAAATTGTTATAATCACTCTCCAATGCAACCATATATTACTTGAAACAACAATAAATACTCTTCCAAATGATAAAATAACATATTGCGTTAAATGAGATTTATTGTAATATAAATAAATAAAATAATTTCTGCGTATCGCGGTGCCGGTATGGTTCAAAAAAAAATAAAATAAAATAAATCCACCCTTGTACCTAACTTTCTCTAGAAACATTGGGCCGATATTTTTCAGATTCGATACTGGAATAACATTAACCCAGGAGGATCCTCGAAACTTTACGATACCATCAGACATTTTGTTTCATATGCCATAGCGTGATAGCAGTGATTTTTCTTTTGTCTCCACTATCGTCACTCAAATTTATCTTTAATATTTTTTATTATTACGTACTTTTTTTTTTGTTAATCAGTTTTCATCATTTGTATTGGCGATTTTATGTGAAAGTCCGTTACCCTATTAATTCTGCCCTGATTTTTTATGTCTTTGAAGTGTTATTCAAAGGTGAAAACGTGAAATTGATAAAACGGCGTAGAAATTGATGCGAGAAACTGCTTTTATGCAGGAATTCTGCATTTTACTCAACTTAGTTTGTCTAATTTTTTTTTTTTTCAATCATTATAGTCTGATCTACGTTTTCTTTAACTGCATAAATTGTGTTTTTATTATAAATGGTTTCGATACTGTTTCACCATAGATCCTGCTAAAAAAAATATTAAATATTGCTTAAGCAAACCACGAGATAACAAATTATATAATATCTGCGATCGTATCGCTCTCAGTATTATTTTTCAACAATATTATAATGTACACTAAAGAAAATTTGTGAGAAGAAATGTATAGTTTGATATATGATTTAGGGAATTTGCCCGATTTTTTGTTGTGTTAAATATTTTGGGAAAAAAGTATTTCAAACTTGAATAGTGCTATTTAAAAAGAAAAAAAAGTTAAGTTTAATAAACAGTATAACTTCACTGCTTAATTGTGTAAGGAGCCTACCACACTTAAACATTTTTTGACAAAATGTTTGTTTCCTTGCAAATATGTTTCATTTCTTATTTAAAGCATGCATTCATTTTTATTCGTTTCTTATTATTCAACAATTTTAAAATGTTGGGATATTAAAAATCATGATTTTCAATGATGAACGAGGGGTCAAAATAAACGGAATTTCATGCAAAATGGACGAATCCCCATTTCGATCCTTAAATACGTAATACAACTTCGATAAAAGTTATTGAGTAGGAGAATGTTTGAAATTCCAACAATATTAAATAGACGAACTGAGGCGGGTATCACTCCATCTTTTGAACCGACAAATTGTATATTAAATTCATTGACGCGGACATATAATTATGCGTTTCAAAGCCATCAAATTTACTGCCTCCGAAACGCCCTCTACGTCTAATTCTAGCAATATTCGTCTAGATACATCGGGATACTTTAAATACTTTTTAAAATTTTCCTATTTTTTATAGTCTATGGCAAGTTAAAAATATATTCGAAAGGTAAACAATCAATCGTTTTAATAAACTTAAACATAAAAATATAAATATTAATTTAAAATATAAACAATTTTTTGATCAAAACCACAAGGGAAAAATGGTATCTGGCATTGAAAATAAAAGTAAATTTAAAACAGCGAAAAATTTGTTAACGTTAATGAAAAAAAACATTGGAATTCTTAGTGTTCAAGCTGAATGTGTTGCCAATGATCCTGCAGAATATTGAATTAGAAGCAATATTTGAAGATAATACGATCTAGGAACAATATCAAATTTGAAAATTTTATTTATTATAAATAATGCGAATGTAAATTCAATGTGTCAGTTAGAAAATTATCAATAAAGAATAAATTTATTGGCCGTTAATCTATATACAATTTTCCAATAAACTGATACATTTTATAACATTTCTGAGTTACAAATATGCACTATAAATTTTTAATCCGAAATATATATGCGAGATGGCATGCTACCCCCCACCTTGCAACCGTCAAGATGGTAGACCTTCGTGAATCACCCCGGAGCAGTTTCACTTGACATTAATATTCTGCTGGTGGCGATCTCAGTATGTGAGAACAGTCTTAATTCGAGCGGACTTCTTCAACCTTTTAGTAACGGTCAACTTTCATTATTATAACTTTAGATCGGATTTTCATGTTATTGTACATTTTGTTCGCTTAAAAACTTCAAATCCGACGATCTACCCGTTTCACGATCTGCTGTATTACATATTGAAATTTTATTTTTCACGGTCCACTAAACCATCGAATTCCTCTCGCATCCAATCCTTACAATCCAAAATCCTTCGTAAAATCCTCAATGCTCCTTACTTTGCCACTAGTAAAATTATCCATAATAAACTTCAGAATCATTCCAACCCTCTCGTTTCTAACCTTGCTTCCTCTTCAATTCCTGATAACCCTCCGAGAAAAGAAGATGGCTCCGTGATCTTCTAATGTAGTCATATCATTAGAGTGCTACCATTGGGTAGTTTCTCAGCAAGTGTATTCATGTCATTATATCTATTATGTCCAAATTTACTAGATGTATTTATGTAATACAGTTGTCATTATGTCATTAAGAAATAAA